AGTCAAGTGCAGTAGTGAGAAGGGGGGAAAGACTAGAACAAGGGGTTCAATCTGTACTTACTGTGAACAATCAATTAAGATAACTCACTACCTTCGGACCAGCCTCCTTCACACTTCTGTATGATGCACGGAGGGTCTGCCCCTGTGGAGGTGCAGATGGGCAGTCCTCTTGAAGAGGAGTTAGATTTCTGGGCACCCTAGAAATCTTCACCAAGCACCATAGAATAATAGTTCCCTCATCTGGAGACACCTAGGGAGGTCCTTACTCATGAAATCCTGCATTGCTATCCAGTGGTTCCTTTTTATACCAAAACTCCATGGGTCTCACTTTTGCTCAGACCAGGCAATCTTACCCCATAGTTAGTTACTTGAAATAATTCTTCACTCCCTCAAATAAAAACACTGACTTTGTGGTCCATGTTTGTGGACATGAATTTAGCCATCTATATATTTATTCTCAGTGATAGACATAGGATGAATCCAATCAGTGTGTTCCTCTATGTGTGATTATCTGCAAGGCTAAACTGAACTCAAGACTTGCCCACATGTAATGGCAACCATTCTCCTCCTGAGTTTTCCATCGCTGAGGAGATGAAAACTGGTAATGGCCTTGAGTTGGTTCACCTCCGTACAGGCACTTGCACCAGTGGTGTCTATATTCCTGGTGGCTCTGGGACTACTGAGTCCCTGGGACACAGAGCCAATGGAAACTGAACAGATGTCCACTTAGTGGTATCAATAGTGACAGGTCAGCCCTGCAAAGGACTAGCTAGTCTTTGTGGTCCACGTGGGCTATCCTTACTGATTCAGTTAAAAACTCACATTTCCACTCTACTTGGTGGGCAGTTGGAATCCCCAAGTGGACCTTTACAGCCTCCTATTTAGTGGTATCGTCTGTAATTTGCCCCCTTGCTCAAATTAGTAGCACCACCATTCTAAGGTCATTATTTTGCCTGTTATACTAGAGTTTCTTTGTAATTAGGTTACAGAGGTGCAATATGATTTTGTTTTGTTTTGTTTTGCAGTACTGGGGAATGGACAACCCAGAACCTTTCACTTTCTAGGCAAATGCTTCTCCACTAAGCTACAGCCCCAGAACTACAGGCTTCAGAGTGATAAGGTTTCAATATGATAACTGACAAATTCTTATGATAAGTTCCGATTTCCAGCATTGGCTCTTCCACTTATTGTGTGCAGGTCAGCTTCCTGTCAGTATAATGAAATACTTGAGATAAATAACTTACAAAAGATTAGTCTTGATTCACAGTTTTGGAGATTTCATTCTATGAACCATTGGACTGATTGTTTTGGGACTGTGATGATGGCAGGAGCACACTGTGGAGCAGAAACTCTCACTATGTGATCAAGAAGGGAAAGAAGAAAAGAAGGGGTGGGCTGGAGATATAGCTCAGTGGCATAAGTGCCTGCCTAGAAAGTTCAAGGTCATTTGATTCCTGGTACCCATTCCCCCCAAAAACCTATATAAGTAAGTACATACACATCATATATTGCTGGGCATAGCAGTGCATGCCTGCTATCCCAGCACTCAGGAGGCTGAAGCAGGAGGATTGCTGTGAGTTTGAGGCCAGCTTGGGCAACACGTGAGTTGAAGGCCAGTTTGAACTCTATAGTGAGACCCTCTCTCGAAAAGACCAAAAGAAAGGAAGGGACACACACTCAATGACTTAAGAACCACATTTGGCCTCATCTCTTACAGATTCTACCACTTCCTAAGACATCACTCTGGATGGTTCTTTCGCTGGATTCAGATGAAAACCATGAATCAGCAAAGTACAGTTCTGCCAGTGGCTCTGGGCCTTAAGTGTCAGTGCTGTCAGTTCTTAGTGTTACAGCTCTGGGCTATAAGCCACCCCATCAGCTCCTTGCCAGCCAAGACTTAACCCTTGGTGGCTACCCAGGACTCAGTCACTGCTGGATGTCAAATGCTGCTGATTGGTTCTGTAGCCCCTTGATACTGATCTCCTATGATCTTTGTGTAACAATCCCTGATGTTTATGTGGTTTTTTTTTTTTAATGAGGTCTCCCTCCTTTCCAGACCCAGGAATCCCAAGTAGATTTGTACGACCTTGCAAGGCCACACTACTACAGAAAAAAATGATGGCAAGGTCTGCTGAACCAAGGCTGTTTACTCAGACATTGTGTGCTACAACAGAGAGATCTGGACACTAGGGGGAACCCTCCTAAACCCAGGAAGTCTGAGAGGCATGGTCCTTCTGTAGAGCAGCACCAGGGCTGTGATTTTTCCAAATTCTAGCCAGCCAATGGTGAGCTAGATGGGACTGATGACTGTTCCAAATTCTGTTTGGTACAGATTCAAGTCTGCTGAGATCCAGGCAAGCCTGACCTGAAATAACGGAGCATCCCAGACATTCGCAGCTGTCAGTCAAAGCACATCCTTTATGTCTGAGTGGGACAAAGGAAAGGGTGGGGCTCTTTCTGATCTATCCCATGGAGAATGACTTTTTTTTTAACCTGCCCCCTGGAGAATGACTTTTAATACCTGGACCTTTGGGAAACAAACAGTATTGTGTGGCCCTGGGCAAATCGCCTTTCAGAGCC